AGGCAAAGAGCACGCATGAGAACCAAGGAAAGAAGCATCCCTGTCCAGGAGAAGAGGAAACGATCCAGCTTTGCTAGGGAGGGTTGAGTAGAGTAGTTGGACCAAGTAAAGCCACTCCCTTGGAGGGGAATGTCTAGGAGTTCTTGACGAGAAATGAAGTCAGAAAGGTCCAACATGCCCTGGGAGATGTTGGGGTTAAGGTTCCTCTCATAAGACCATTTGGTGATATTGAAGTCACCGCCTAAACACCATGCAGAGTGGGGTAAAGAAGCTACAAAGTCTAATTCAGACCAGAGGCAGGGGACGGAGAGAAGCTGAGTTGGGTTCGTAAATGGCTGAGAATTTGAGAGGAAAACCATCAGAAACCCGAGAGTGACCGAGAATTCTCTTATGTGGGACGACTGGAGATGGTGCTCGGTAGGTTTCCAGATCACCCAAATACCGTCAGAAGCCCCATTCGCCGGTAGGGTTGCCCATTGACATGGCCTTCTACCCCACACACTACGGATAATCTGGAGGGTAGGCTTCGGCTGTTTGGTCTCAGTTAGGGCTAATATTGAAGGGGTAAATTTGACAGAAAAGTTTCTAACAGAGTCCTTTTTGGACTTTTGTCCCAACTCTCTAATGTTCCAAGAGAGAATCTGCATCGGTTAAGGGGGGGACAGAGAAAGAGGCGATTCTGGTTGACCGCCTCAGAGAGGAAAGGAGCGGGGTGGTGGAAGGAGAGGAGCCACCTCCTTCATGTTTGTAATAATTGATCGAGGAAAAAAGATTAAACAGCTCTCTATGTCCTTTGGTGCTCACCTTGAGGCGGCTCTGGGTGTCTGCAAGCATGAAACGGTGCGCTGGGGACTTTTTTCGCTCCCTCCTCTCCTGCACCCATCTCTCCCCCCTTGGCTGATGCCGAAGCCGAGAGGTCAACGAGGATGGGGACAACAGTGAAGCTAGAAGAATGAAGGAGATTTTTTGGGTCGTGGGGATAGGGCTGAGGGACAGAGTCGTACGATTAGGGAGAAAAGGTTGGGTAAGGGAAGTGAACTGTTGTAACCTTGCCGATAAGGACCAGGTGAGAGGAATGGGGAAAGAGGGGGGTGAGAAGCGGGGAACGGTAGGCCGGGTCTGGGGAGAGGGGTCAAGGGAGTGCACTGTTAAGATGCCAAAGGGGAGAAGGGAGCCGTCCAGTTCCATAGACAATTGAGCTGAAAGGGGTTTCCGCACGGTAGAAGACAGGGAAGGGCCTCCCTCTGAGAGAAGGTCGAGAGGCAGGAATGAAAGAGAGAGTAATGAAAGAGGCCAAGGCTTGAGGGGGAGAGAAGGGACAACATGCACAATTTCTCGACTAGCAGGGTGAGGGGAGAAAGCATAAAGGTTAGACTGGGGATAGGGGCAGCAGGGGGAAGGTGCCAGAGGGGAGGGTGGAGGAGCCAAGAGGGGGGAGGAGGAGCCAAGAGGGGGGAGGAGGACGAAGAAGCCTCCAAGGAGCCAGGAGAGGGAAAAGAGAGCAAAGGAGGGTTGGGTTCACCAGGGGGGAGGAAAGAAACACCAGGGGAAGAGGGAGGGGGGATGGGTGGCGGAACCGTGGGAATCGAAGGGATAGCAGTAGGTGAAGAGGGAGTGTATGGCGGCCGAGAAGGGTCAAGTGGCGAAACAGGGAGGGAAGAAATGCCTAGGGGAGAGGAAGGAGGGACAGGCGAAGGGATAGCGACAGGTGAAAAGGGAGGGGTAGGCAGCTGAAGATAGCCAAGTGGCGAGCCAATAAATGCTAAATCAAACGAAGGAGCAGGCGAAGGCTCAAGGAGAGAGGGAGAGGGCAAGCCCAAAGGCCGCGTGTCAAATGGACGAGCCGAGGGCCACGGGGGAGCAGCGACTGCATGGACAGCTGTTGAAGCCTCTACTGTAGTTCTCGGGATGTGGGTCGGGTCCCCAGGGAACGTGCTCAACAACCCAGCCGATGAAAGCAAGCCACTAACACAGCCTGACGGCCCAGGGGGAAACCGATGGTCAACGACCACTATTACCTCCTTATCGAGTCGGTGGGTTGAAGGGATCGAAAGGCCCAAGGAAGACCAATAGGGTTCAACTACCCCACCACCATCGCGGCTAGAGCCTGTGAGTCTGGGCTTCAGAGCAGACTGTAGCGCCGGTGAATTGACATCGCCTTGTTCAGAAGGGGTCGGAGACATGCCACGTGGTATCCACGTGGAAGGTTTAGGGCGTGCAGGAGCGCTGGGACGGTCGCCTCCTCGAGCTGAAACACCGCTCGTGGTGGCCGTGTTTCCGCGAGACGGTGATCTAGGAAGAGGAGGTGAGTCCCTTGGCTGAAAGAGGAGTCTGAAAGTCGAGGGAGGGGAAGCCTTCGACCAAGAGAGCGAGATAGGATAGAAGAGGTTTTCAGCTTCAATCCACACCCAGGGTGGGATGAGCTTAGTGTCTAAGACCTCCAAAAGAAGACGAATGGACCAAGCGGGAGGGTTTCAATGGACTTCCAATGAATAGAAATGAGACTACCAATATTGCTAGATATAGGTCTGTTCGCTCAGCGAGTGCTACTTGTCTCTTCTATATGTGGATTTGTTTTCCTCTTTTGGTGCAGGGGTCGGGGTGGTGGTGGGGGCGGGGGAGGGGGGGAGATTGTGGCATGTTGGTCGTTAATGGTTGTTCAGTTAAATGGAATGAAGCATATTTTTACAAGGGTATTTTTTTTTTTGATATACATCTATTATGTACATTCATGTCTGCACATAATTATTATGGAATGATACCCATATAAACTATGTCTGTTAGGGAACTCCCTCCATTGCATTATTGATTAGATTGGTTTCTCCCCTTGTATTGAATTTAGTTGAGGTAAATGTGTGATTGATTGAGATAGGTTGATACATATGTATAATTAGCCGAGTTGAATAGTTTTGGGGTTTGTGGCCTTTAAAAGCCGTGATAGGGTGTAAAAGACATTTATAATGGATTATACACTTCAATGAGAGTTTGTATTGTTTGACTAACTAAGGGTTAGGCTGTTTATGGCCCTGGTCATGTCCAAAATCCTTACCCTTAGGTATGTGGTGCTAACAAAAAGCCCTTGTTGAGGTTGGAGAGATGCCCCTAGATAGTTTGTAGGCTAGGAGTACTGTGTGGTCCCCTGTGTGCGAATATAGGTCTGTGAGACGAGGGCAAAATTTTGAACAAACTTTCGCACGACATGTACATATGACAACCTCGTTACCGGAAGCAACCTTGAAGTGGGATACATGTACATATACATAGAGAGAGTTCCCCTTGCACTGTAATGAGATTTACTTGAGTTGCTCTGAAGGGGATGATTTGGGGGATGGATGACTTTGATTTATTCTCTCTCACCTCACAGATTTTTTAATTTCCTATTGGTTAGGGTGAATCATGGGACATGCATACACAGGGAGTCTTGGGGCCTAGATAAAGAGGTGTACCCCCTCTCATTACACATAATTTATTTGGAGCTTCTCTCTCTCTCCTAATTCTCTTTCCACACTTAATTCACTTTTCTTTCTCTCGTATCTATTGTGCCCATATCTCTCCTTTTTGCTCACCATTAGTGCACGCCACCCATAGATAAATTAAAGAGGGTGGCATGCCGAACCCTTATTAGGGTTCTGTTGAGAGAGGACTAGTCTAACCCTAGAAAAAGGGAGGTGTCTTTTTTGAGTCATTGTCTAATTTTGTTTCTATTCTCGTTAAAACCCTAGTTTAAGAGGTATTGCTTAAAGAAGCTTCTCGGCTTTAAAAATTCAGCAAGACCAGCAGGACTGAAGTGCACGATCAGTCAGGAAATCGGTGGGGTTGTAGTAAGTCCTATGGGGGTGACCCTAGGCATAATCGAGTAAGTCTTCCCAATTGTTTGTTTTTGTTTTTCATCATATTTCTATATTTATTGTCACTTTTTAGGAACATTGTTTGCACTCAGATTGATTTTAGAGGCTTGGTTTTAATTCTTGGATTGTATTTCTTTATTTTGGCAGTAAAGGAAGGTCCTAAGTTGTATTTAAGGTTTTAATTTTCTTTTACAACAGTGTATTGTGGCACTTGTAAGTGGAGTTCAGATTCAATAATAACAAAAAGAAGAAAGTTTTTTGATTTTATAGTCTTAAATTCCACATAGCCGTTGCTTTCAAATGGTACAACCTAAATTTGCTTATATCTGCTCAAAATGAGCCCATCTGCCTCTCAAGATCTGTAGGTCTGGCATGTAGTTGAATTGCAAAGAAATGTGTAAGCTTCAGCATACGATACCATCTATTAGGGAGATAAGGAAATTGGGCATCATGGTAAAACGAACCTTGAGGGAATCACAACATATTAAACACCCTATTGTAAGAATGGGAAATCAAGATTGAAATCAAGCCTGATATTTCTAGTGGCTTGATGTAATGTAGTTCAAATCTAACAATTTATCTCTAAAATAAAGTACAATGCTCCTTTGAATAACTCAAGCAAACACTGGTCATGAGAGTTTTTCTCATTTAGCAAATGGCAAAATATTAATATGCAGAACGTAGGGAGTTCAAATGTATCAAAGATGATTGTGCGTTCTGAAATACTTAGTAAAAAATGGCTTAGTTTACAAATTGAGGGTTTCAGGAGTGGGGTGGACACATCAGTATGGCTAAATAGCTTCTTTGAGGCTAATTCCATTAAACATGTGCCAATCATCCTCTACCCAATTCCACAAATCGTACTTAACACCACTGCAGAAAAGCCCCCAAAAATAATAAACATAATATTAAATAAGGCAAACTATGCCCTAGAATCACACTACCAACAATACTTTGAATGATTGTATACCACATTAGCAATATCATCATTGACTTTAAACGGTATGTTATAGTTAATTTTGCATTTATTGAGGGGAATGTTGTTAGCAATGTATTCATCTGAAATTTCCTAATAAGTAGAAACAATTTATCTTCCGCTTGAAAATTACACTCATTGTTTTAGTAATTCGCTCTAGGAATTTTTTTCTACAGATTCATGAGATAGTAATCACTGGGAAGCTGTCAAAACTGGAGCACTTTGAGACAGACGAAAAGGTGTTGTAATTTCCATCAAATTCTTTTTCTTTTGGAACATTTGAAAAAAAATGTTTCTCTTGTTATGTGGTTTCTTCGCATCCATAATAAAGTAGATGTTGCATATTCTGATCCATACTAGCTGTTTCTTGAATGCCTTGTAAAACTTCACTACCTGCATGAAATAGGAGTTTCTGTTCTTCCATTTTAAAGAATTTTCTATCTATTTGCACTGCCATGAGGGACTTTGAAATAGTCAATAGTAGTTCGTGTCCACGTATGTGTCCAGCAGGAAGTAAAAGATTATATGCTCTTTGTCGATAGTATAATATCAAAGAGAAAGAAGAGAGATAAGAGGCAGAAGAGAGAAAAAATGTTAGCAAGAGAGAGTGAAAAAGTGAAGAGTGGAGACCGGAGGCAGTGGCATTAGGGCCAGACCAGATGGTCTCCATGCCCCTGCTTATGTTATCTTTAGTCATAAAATTGTGTAGGAATGCCCTATTGGCTCACAACAAGATACATAGCCATAGGAACTAATTTGTAATATATTGGTAATACTTCCTCTCAAGCTGGAGCACTGATGTCCAGCTTAGAATAAATCATGTGAATCTGATTAGAACTAAGAGCTTTTGTGAATATAATAGTCAACTCATCCTTCGACTTCACATATGGAGTAAGTTGAAAGATATAATCTAGGTCTACAGTAATCAGCAAGTATTTGATGGAGGAAGTGGTACACAATAACAATATGAGAGAGACAAAGACAGAGAGGAAATGACGAGAACCCCTTTTTGGGATCAGTCATATGTTTATATTATTTTTCATATGAAAAATTACAGAAATTACCCTCGTGTAAGTTTATAAGTCACACAGAACCCTATAGAATCAATTGTTCTATTTATGTCCTTTGCTTACTGTTGTATTTTCAACATACCCCCTCAAGTTGGAGCATAGATATCAATGATGCTTAGCTTAGCTTCTTTCGTCAAACATGTCTTCAACTCCACATTGGGTACATTTTAACTTTTTTTTTCCATCAGTTATGAAGCTTCAGTGGCCAACTACGGCCTCCACCTGAACGACCACCACTACCACTACCATGATTATTAAAAGAACTGGAAATTAGGGTAGTCTTTCGATTTCACCTATGGACACAACCATAATTTTCCTGCAAGCTTTTTCACATCGAAGGAGGGAAAAGTTGTTCCAAGTGATGGTAAAGTTTCACCATCTAAAATATTAGATCTGATATTTTGATATACGGGTTAAAGTCCCTTAAAAGATCAAATATCTTCTTTCATTCCACCCTTTATCTGTGTTCTTGGAATAATGGGAGCAATTTATGGGTTTGGTAGCAATTCAACTCATCCCAAAGTATAGCAGCAAAATAGTCACCAGCTGATAAATCTTTTTATTTGAAATTGCTGATTTGTTGTTCCAACTCTTAGATTTTTGCTATATTCTTTTGTGTACGCTTTTGCTACTACATCCCATCATTCCTTTGCAGTGTTACAATTCCTGAATGTGTGGCTCAAGTTTGGTTGGTTAGAGCTTAAAATTCAGTTCATAGTATTCATCAGCTTCCCAATCAGCATTAGAAGGCTCTTTATAGCTGGTTTCACGATCGATATATTATGGCCTAACTTTTTTTTACCTCCAAGAAATAATCTAATAGAAATGGTGTATTCCAGATAGTTTGTACCATCAAGTTTAACTATAGTGATTTGAAGTCTGGATTACTCCATACTTGCGTCAAGGGCAAGGGGAAGGCCCAAAAGGACACAGGTGGAAGTAGTGACAAAAGATATCGTGACTTTTGGTCTTACTGAAGCTGTGACCCTTGACATAGAAGAATGACGGGACAAGATTCATGTAGCTGACCCCAAATAATTGAGATTACTTCATACTTGATGTTTGTTGGAACATTGTTCCTTTTTTCAGGTAAAAAACATATCATAGTGTTGCTAATATCTGGATACGTCCTCTAATTTCTCTCTAAACTCTCTTGGTAGTACCCAAAGCACCACACATTGCTCGGCTAGTTGATTGTAAAATCGTAGCTGTAAATTTCAGATGTAGAATGGTTGTAAGGCTATTCGATACAACATCAAACAGCTATTATCAGTCCCCGGAAAATAAAACTTGATAAATATATTTCGGATTTATCATAAGGAGTAACAAATTCTTCAACCTGGTGGATTCGGTATGGATCATGAAAAACCCCTAAGTTTTAGGGACAAACCCTAAAATATTTGACGCCATTTGCAAGGAAAACTAAATTAGAGAACAAACCTTGAAAATTAACACTTAAAAAAAAGAGGCTTGCTATGATTTTTGAAAAATAGCTATGTTAGGGTTTCTTCTTGCTGAATATTCTTCCATTGTTTGGCGGTACTGCTGAACCCATATTACATGGCCAGTGTTTCACCATTTGACTCTTACTTATTTGAATTTGGATCTTGCTTTGATACCAAGTTGAAAAATCTAATCTACATGTACCTTAATCAACAAGTATTTGGAGGAAGAGGAGTAAAATAAAGAGGACAAATGAAAGAGAGGAATAAAAAGAGAAGAATGAAAGAGAGGTGCACGAGAGAGAGAGAGAGAACAGTGTGACCCTCGTGCAAGTTTATTACTCACACATAGCCCTAACTTACCGTTGAATTTTATCGAAGTAGCTATCTGCTTACTCTGTAGCTTTTCTTGAATAGAGTCACAATCCACATATGCTTTGTTCTCTCATGGAATACTGGATTGCTAGCCATATAGATAGATGCTTGATTATCACAAAACATATTCATCGCCTTAGTAGCTATAAATCCCATCTTCTATGTCAAGGTCTTCAACCACATTAAGTCACATGTAGTGCAAGTTACTTCTCTATATCCTGATGGAGATTCCGCCCCAATCGGCATCATAATAGTTCTCAATGCTGGAATGGCCATTCTGCCTATATAGGTAAGTCCTTGACCTGGAACCCCCTTAAGATATATCAATATTCGCTGCAAAATGTCCCGGTATGGTGTTTTTGGAGAATGCATAACTCACTACACTCACTGCAAAGGCTATGTCTGGTCGAATAACAGTCAAATAGATAAGTCTACATACTAGTCTTTTTTATTTGCGTGAGTCTTCAAATAACTCTCCTTGATCCTTCAATAATTTAGAGAAAGCATATGATATAATACCTAAATAGTTAATTTGCTGGGTGTTAGAGAAGGGGTTCATAGAGGATATATTGATATGGTGAGAGATATGTACAAGGGAGCACTAACTAGTGTGAGGATAACTAGTGGAGAGACAAGTGAGTTTTCAGTGACAGTTGGACTACATCAATGGTTAGCGTTGAGCGCATACCCCTTTATTTTGGTAATGGACGAGTTAACCAGGCATCTACATGCCATGTTGTATGTTTTTTGTTGCTGATATAACTTTGATTGATGAGACTAGAGATGATGTCAACACAAAGAACTTTGAAGGGTTGCTCTCAAATCAAAAGGTTTTAAAATTAGCCGGACTAAGACAAGATATGGAATGCAAATTTACTAATTACAAGAGTAGAAATGATGAAGTTGAGATTGATGGCCAAGTAGTACTTATAAGAGATTATTTTCGATATCTTGGGTTGATCATTCATTAGAATGGAAAGATTATGGAAGATGCTCCACTTAGAATTAGAGCTAGGTGGGTGAAGGGAAGATGTACTTTTGGAGTCTAGTGTGATTATTGCGTACCAATGAAACTGAAGGCAAAATTATATAGGACGGCTATAAGACCATCCAGGCTTTATGGGATGGACGAGTGTAGTTGAATGAGATGATGTTGAGATGGACGAGTGGTAAGTCAGGAATGGACATAATTTGGAATGAATATATCGAAGGGAACATAGGGGTAGTTCCAATAGGTAATAAGATGCGAGAAAGTAGACTTAGGTGGTCTAGCCATTTACAACGTTGACCTAGAACAACACTAGTTAGGAGGGATTTGGTTTAAGTGGAAGGCTCTAAAAGGGCAAGGGGAAGACCGAAAAGGACGTGGATCAAAATAGTAAGAAGAGATATGGTGACATATGGTTTGACCAAGGGAATGGCCCTTGATAGAGCGAAATGGCCCTTGATAGAGCAGAATGGCGGAATAGGATTTCTAGAGCCGACTCAAATAATTTGGATAAGACCAAGATGATGATGATGATCCCTTTATAATTTAGTGCTCGGACCATTAGGCATATCAACTAGCTTAGCACCCAACATCTAAGTTTCTGGCAACAAGCCTGTTACATACTTCCTTTGAGATGGACTAATGCCATGCTTAGATTGGGCTACTTCAATTTCAAGAAAATACAGTAGTTATCCCAAATCCTTTATCTGAACATATTGTTGCGGATACTACTTCAATCAATTAATTTCTTCCTAATCACTCCTAATAGTGACGATATCATCAACATTAACCATCAAGACAATTATAACTGCGGATTGTCCCCAAGTAAATGATAAATGATCCACATGATGATTGTTAGACCAGCTGTGCTTTATGGGACGAAGTGTTGGGTGGTCAAGAAAGAACATATCCATAAAATTAGTGTATCTGACTTGAGGAGATTGAGAAGGATAAGTGGTAAGACAAGAAAAGATAGATTCAGAATCAATAAATCCAAGGGAACTTAGGGGTGTTTATAATAGGTGATAAGATGAGGCAAAAAAAAATTAGGTGGGTTGACAATATTTAGTGCGTGATTTGGTTTAAGTGGAAAGTTCTAAAATGGCAATGGGAAGGCCCAAAAGGACATGGATAAAAATAGTGAAAAGAGATATGATGACTTATGGTCTGACAGAGGGTGTGGGCTTTGATAGAGTGGAATGGTGGAACAAGATTCTTGTAGCCAACCCCACATAGTTGGAATAAGGCTTCGATGATGATGATGATGATCCACACGAATTCATTGAAACCTGGGGATTGATTTAGGCCATAGATGACCTTTTTCTAACTTGCATGCCTTGTTTAACTCTTGTTGCGCAACAAACCCTGGTGGTTACTCAATATATACCTCTTTTTGTAAATCATCATGAAAGGATGTATTTTAACATCAAGTTGCCGCAATGGCCGCTGTAGATATTAGTACTCAAACATAATTAAGTTTAGCAACAGGTCCACTTCTCAGATTATTCGATACTAATAGTTTGCTTATGTTGGATTTTATGGCCTCTAAAGGCCTAGAGAGCTTGCAAATATGATAATTTATAGTGGAATATGCACTTACAATGGGAGTGTGTGTTGATTGACCATAGGTTGGGTGGTTTATGGCCCCGGTTTTGTACAAAACCCTTGCCCCTGGACATGTGGCACTACCGAGATGGGTTTACTATGGGTCATCCCTTGATGAGATCAGAAAGATGCCCATGGATGATATTTGCAAGCTAGGAGAACTGTGTGGTCTCCTGTGTGCGGTTGTAGGCTTGTGACAGCAAGGGTCAAAGCTTCAACAATCTTTTGTACAACATGTACACATAAAAGCCACATTACTGGAAAGCAACCCTATAGAGAGACCCGTGTACATGTGTACCTAGAGAGAGCCCTTTTTTCACTGGTGACAAGTACTAGACTTGCTCTTAAGGGTGACTCACCTCTCTTATTTAGTTTGTACCACTTTTAGTTAAAGTTTGGTTAGATAGGGAATATTTAATAAAGAGATTAAAATAGATTTGTTCCCTATTCAAGTGGAAGTTTTTAATATAAACGATTGTTTTAGTTAGAAGTTTGGCTTGACCAAAACTCTAATTGTTTTGACTTCCTATAGATTTTGGAAAGATATTAGGAGGTTTTGGATTGGTTATAATTCTAATCTGAATAGAAGTTGGAATTGGGTCAAATTAAAAGGGGATAAGGTTCCTAATAATCTTCCTAAAATTATGATGGCTAATTTGTGTGATGGATGACTCAGATTAGTTCTCTCTCACCCCCTAGATTTCGTAAGCTGTTTAATTTTCTTTCAGTCATATTTCATAATTTTTATGTTAATTTCCAAGAACATATATTGTACTCAAAACTATAATGGACGATTCTTTATTGCTCTTGGATGATTGTTATTTACTTTGGCAGTAAACGTAAAGATCCTAGGTTGTATGTAAGGTATTTATTTTGATTTACAGCAGCATACGGGTGGCCCATGTAAGAGGAATTCCGGTACTGAATTAAAGAAAAAAAAAAAATTCTATTTACCACCTTGAGTTCCACATAGCAGCTTCTTTCGTTGGTTTCAGAGCCTCTATATTTTACTGCCATATTCTAGGACTGCAAAGGGATACGTGGTAGGATGCGGGTTATGCTTCACAAGTTCATTGTATTCTTCGCATTAGAGCAAAATAGAATCACCAGTAGAATTGAGAACATGGTGATGATTATGGGAGCCAACTAGATCGATATCATGATACCAAGATATATAAGCTACCTGACTAGCCCATGCAGGGTTGCCAAACTTATTCCAGCACTTCTTTTCAGCCTTGTGACTAGTACGTCCACAGTGTGGGCATTTCTTGTTTCCACGGCCTTTACTATGACCTCCCCATGAATCACCATCATGTCTACCACAACCTCTACCTCCATCATGGCCACCCACTGATGTGGTTAAGAAAAACCCATCACTAACTTTAGATGGAGATGGAAGTGTAGATATGACAATCCTGAAGGTGAAATTACACATTATTAAGATAGGGAAGTTCATTACTAGCTAAGATCTGTCCACAAACGGATTGATTTTCAGGATTAAGGCCATACAAGAACTTTAGAACTCAATATTCAAGAGAGGGAAGTTGTAAAACTTGTCTAAATAAAACTTTAGTGTAGAGACTTTTTGTTTATATTGTTTTGGCGAATGATGACTTATGTTTTTGATGAGTTGTGAGAGCAACTTTGTTTGAAATAAGAAAATTGTCGATGCCTTACATATACTTTCTCTAACAAGACATTACATAGCATAGGTACATTACTAAATCTTTAGGTTGTCTTACTGTTGTTTTAATTATGTAAAAAACTGTGAAGGTTCGAACAATCACTCTGCTTGGTGAAGTTTGGGGCATTGGTCCTGCAACTGCACTAAAACTGTATGAGAAAGGACACCGTACTTTAGAAGACCTTAGAGGTGATGATTCTTTGACTAGCGCACAGAGAATAGGGTTGAAATACTTCGATGACATCAAGAAGAGAATTCCTCGACAGATGGTAGGTAATGGCTGTCCAATGAACTATTGCTCTAAGTTAGAGAATACCCTATACTTATTTTTAATTGGTGATGTCGATTCCTTTCCAATTTGATTTAATCACTGCTCCATAATTATTTAGGTTAGAGATATGGAGATTCTTCTGCAAAGGGCTGGAGAAGATGTTCTACCTGGTGTAAGTATCTTAGATGTATCTTAAAATACATAGTGGCAATGGTTCCTGCATCCTTGTTTGATGATTTTGATCCTTTATTTTGCATATGCAAAATACTCTTGTAAAAGAAATGCTTCCAAAAAAGTCCACTAAATTTATTAATTTTCTTTATTACATGCAATTTCTTGGACTCATATGTTCAGTACATGCAGATTGGATCTTACTTGGAACAGAAATGTGGCTGGCTCAATTTATAATTTCAACATAGAGGTTTTAGGAACATCCTTTATGGATGTTGTATTTCTTTTTTTTTTTTAGTTTGTAAACTAGAGATTGAGCATGTATACCAAGGATTAGGACAGAGGTTAATATTATCAAATTAGCAAGCTTTGCCCTAGTTCTCACTCATTCGCATTAACAATCGGTTTATTTAGCAATTTTGATTTTGGTTTAAAGACCTTTTATTGCTCTTACTTGAATTAAACTGTTTTGAATAATCTCATGCTTGTTGTGTGGGTTTTGGAAAAATAAAGTTTGTTGCCGTGGAATTTGCAGTAATGTAAGCATTCCATTTAATATTTTTCTTGTGTAAGTTTGCTAAGATTAATTTGTATTGTTTGGATGGTCCTTGTAAAGGTTGTTGATCTTTCAAACTTCCTTCCCTAAAGTTGGGAACTTATATTAATAGGTTATTTTTCGTTTTTCAGAGCTGTTATTTTCAAAGCTATCTGTCATAAGTGTGGTGAATATTAGGCATCAACACTGATACATCACAGCTTCATGCTGAAGAAGAAAGTAAAATCTTGGTTCTAGGGTCCCTTCGATACCATGTTAAGTTTGAGGAAGAAGAGAGGAAAAGAACATTCAAGCACAACAATTGGATAAAATAATGGATGTATATCTTATTGTTTAAATCATGGGGCAATATGCACTATATATAATCATGTGTCCACTTGGGGTTTATGATATAGGTCAGCATGAACATAGTTTATAGCTATTAAGGAGTTGAAATATAGGAGATGACCTTAGTCAACTTTGGTACAGATTGAGTTTCCAAGAATGTGCATATTCTCCACCGCCAAGTTTGGTACAAATTGAGTTTCCATGAATGTGAGGATTCTCCATAGCGAACTTTGGTACAAATTGAGTTTTCATGAATGTGAGGATTCTTGGTCAATTTGCCTTGTCATCACATGATCCATCATAGGAGGTTTCTTTAATAGCAGCATGGGCCTTGTGGTTTCCTTAATAGCTGTGTGAGGTCATAATATTCACTACAGAAGGAGAGAACAGGGCCATAAAAGTTTTTTACAACACAATTTGGCTACTTTCAAGGTCTCACTCAACTCTGTGACACCAGTAGTATGGGTAGGTACTTTGCATCTGCAAATTATATATCTCCCACCCAATCCACTTCTTCTGCATCTTGGATCAATGCTTCAGGGGCTATTGATCATATGTCGATATGAAAGTTGATTTGTTTTCCTTTTCTCCTATTTCTAGTGAAAAGCTCGTTGATTGATCCATGGCCAGTGCCTCTAGGAGCAAAACATGTAATCTTTCATCATCATTGTACTTACCTCTATAATACATGTGCTTCTTTGCTTTCCAATATTCTCTTTGTTGGCAGCTAGACGAAACAACTAAACTGCCATGCTAGATTCTATCCCTCACAATGTGTTTTTGAGGACATGAAAACGAGGGAAGATGATTGGTAGTGATCATGAAGACAATGGGTTGCAGTTGTTCAACATGGGGTACACTTCTACTGCTCTCAAATTTTTGTCTAGAAGTCTAGAGCTAGTACTCTTGTGGCACACCTGATTAGGCCACATGTCTATGAAATCCTTAACATTATTGTGAAATTTTCCATTTGTTGTTTCTCAGTTACAATTAGGGCTGCCGACGGGCCAGGCCCGGGTCGGCCTTGCCTAAGGCCCGGAATGGTAAGGCCCAAAAATTCACATAGAAACCGGGCCCGGCCCGGAAACAGTACAAAGGGGCCCTAGCCTGGACCGTGAAGGCCCACTGGGCCTAGCACGGCTTTTTATTTTTTTTTTAGGGGGAGTGGTTTAACATTTCTTAAAGGAAAATAAGTTGAAAGGCCAGTTAGGCCTATTGGGCTTGGCCCGGCCCAATCCAAGCCCGACCCAATTTTTTTTTTTTTCTCTTCCTTCTGACTTTTCTTATAAAAAAATGCTAATTAATTTTTCACAAATTTAAAACCCCTTTAAATAAAAAAATAATAGAAAGAGTTGGTCGATCTGCTTATAGAGAGATACAAAGATTTGGTTTATGTTTGTTGAGTTGGGTTTTTGGATGGGAGAGAGGTTGGGGTTTGTTTGAGATGGGTTTAGAGAGAGGGCTCTTTCTGAGGTGGGTATTTGGAAGAAGAGAGGTAAGGTTTTTTTTCTTTTGACATGGTTTGTTTGGAGAATGATTGGGGTTTTCTAGGTTTTTGGAGGGAGAGTGATTAAGGTTTTCTGGATTTTTGGAAGAAGAGAGGATGGGGTTTTTCAAGTGGATTTTTTGGAGAGGGAGAAAGATTAGGGTTTTGGGGACTCACCCATCTTCAACGTGCTTGCGATGATAGTTCCGACCATTATCGCCCTTCTTTTTGCGAAAACCTTTGCTTTGGAGGAATCAAAGCGGCGGTCGAGCATCGTTTTGCAGCATTCCCTGAGAGCTCTCGTTCTCTAGTCTCTCGCTCTCCTCTCTCGTCTTTTCTCTCTAAGCCTTTTCTTTTTCTCTCTAGGTTGGGGGGCCTGGTATCTGGTTTTATACTAGCTGTCGATCTGTTGGTAATCCAATTTCAGAGAGAGAGAGGTGGTCGATCTGCTTCTAAAGAGAGAGAGAGAGCTTTATGGGAGAGAGGGCTATGTGAGTGAGGCCGGAGAGAGAGGGGGGGCTTTGTGAGAGAGCGAGGCCTTTGTGACAAAATGAGAGAGAGAGAGAGAGAGCGAGAGAGAGAGAGGGTTTACAGAGGGAGAGAGGCTCTGTGACACAGCAGAGAGCCGAGAGGGAGAGAGAGCGGCCATAGTTAGGTTTTTTTTTGGGTTAGGGTTTAGAGAGAGATTTCATTTTTTGGTTAAAGGTAAATTGAGATTTGAGAGAGAGAGAGAGAGAGGGGAGAGTAGAGTTTTTTATTTTTTTTCTTGTTATAGAAAAGAAATTTTTGAAGTGAATTTTTTTTAAAAAAATTGAAGAGTGACAAAAAAAAAACAAACAAATATACTAACAGGGTCGGGCCGAGATTTATTAGGGCCGGGCCATGACTTGAGGTGGGTTTTAAGGCCCGTATGGGGGCAAACGGGCCTTTTTCTGGCCCGGCCCGTTAACAGCCTGGCCTGTGCCCATATTACTATGCTTACATGGTGGCCCGGAGCCCGAAACTAGCCCGCTAGGGGCCCAGCCCTGTCCATTGGCACCCTAGTTACAATGTGAGATCAATTGTCTAAATGTTGTATAACCTCATTTCCATCATGTGAAAATGAAAGCTCTAAACCATTCCACTTTGTTCATTCTGATGTTTAGGGGCATGCTCGGTTACTTTTGTATTTGGATATCGGATTTTATCACATTGGTAGGTGGCTACTCTTGTTTTATTTGGTTCTGTTGTAACATATGTAGTGCTAAAGCACCCTCAATAGTTGCAATATTTCAGAGAGTGCTTCAAACCAAGTTGGAGACCCAAATTTAATTTTTCCGTTCTGATAATGCACAAGAGTATTTACACTATGGATTAAAGAATTATTTTCTTGAACGTCATAACGAAACTCAAACATCGTATTCTTCCACATCACAACAAAATGATGTGGCATAACGGAAGCTAGACATTGGTTAGAAGTTGTAAGAGCAATCGTAAAAGGAATTGAGGTTCTTATGACATATTGGGATGAAGCAGTTCTTGTTACTGCCTTTGGAATCTATAGGATGCCTAGACATGTTCTTCATGGTGCTTGCCCTTTCAAACTCTTCGACCATGCTCTTCTTTTGTTCTCTTCAACTAATAACCTTTGGTTGTGTCCATGTTGTGCATTACCCTGGGCCAGCTAGAAATAAGTTAGGATCCCAATTTACTTGATGTGTGCTCCTAGTATACTCAACCTCTCAGAATGGATACTAGTGTTGCTGTCCGATGGATAAGAGGAAATATGTCTCAAAAGATGTTACCTTCTTTGAGATCATACCCGCTTTGTCTTCCTTGAGACATTTGCTGAGACATTCAATATTCACCATGCTTGATTTACTTCTTGTTGTAGGAAAAGGAAAGGGACTCGTAATTCTCATCCAATCAATAAGTCTGTTTCCTGTGCTTCACTTCACCCGCTTTTCATGCATATATTTGCTTTACTTCTTCTATCCCTTTTCCCATTAAAGTTGTAGATGCACTGGCTCATTCACTATGGAAAGCAGCCATGATTGAGGAAATGATTGCCTTAGAGATGCAATGAACTTGCGATATATTTGATTGGCTAGAAAGGACAACATGTGGTGGGATGTATGTGGTGTACACCTTACAACAGAAAGCAGATGGTTCGATTGAGAGATATAAGGCTTGTTTGGTGGTAAATGGTTTTTTGCAGTTATATGAGGTTGACTACAAGGTGACTTTTGCTTGTATGGTAAAATTGAAATTAGTGCAAGTGATTGCAACTAACAAAAACTGGTTACTCCATTAAGGTTTGAAGAATGCCTTCTCAATGGAGATTTGAAAGTGGAAGTGTATATGGTATAACCACCTAGGTTTTATCCTTAGGGAGAGAAAGGGAAGATCGCTGGTTAACGTCCGCTAAACAGCCGTATTGGGCTTGGTTCAAAATACTTTAGTTTGGCAATATGTCCGATTGGGTTTCAGAGGAGTGTCTCAGATCACTCCATATGTGTTAAAAGAGATTCTTGTTTTACCACAATACTGAAAATGTATGTGCAAGGTGCACTCATATGAAATAATAGTTAGGAAATATAACAGGTTAAAGATTCCTTAGGGAGTGTTTATGACATAAGGGTCTTGGTCCATTGATGTCACTGAGGGTATGACCCTTAATAGAGCAGAATGGCGAATCAGGATTCGTGTAGTCGACGCCAATTTGTTGGGAAAAGGCTTTGATGATGATGATGGTCTTGGTCCATTGAAATACTTCTTTGGAGTAGAGGTGGTATGGTCTAAACAAGGAGTTTTTTTGTCTCAAAGTGTACTCTTGATCTCCTAGAGGTTGTTTATTGCATTGACAATATTTAAAATCTGCTTCAAAGAATGGCCTACTTCTTGGTTAACTTGATATAAAAGGTTTTTGTGATGCATATTGGGTTGGGTGCTCTATTGATCACGATCTACCAATGGCTACTTTCTAACAGTGGGTGGTAATTAGTCACCTTGAAGAATAAGAAACAATGTTGTAGCCCAATATTCAGCAGAAGCCAAGCATCGAGCATTGACAAGTATTACATGTGAAATAATTGGGTTTTCTTCTCTTCTTCAAGAGATGGGCGTTAGTGTCTCAGCTCCTATTACTTTACATCAGTGGTTTAAAAACCGGATCGGTGCCCCGGATTGAGCACACCAAAAACCCATATGGATCGGTGAATTGGCGGTTCGGATCCGGAATTGGCGGAATAAATCGGATTCGGCAATAACAAAAATCCAAAAAAATTATTAAAAATCATTATAAATGTTGTTTTTTAGGAAACCAATAAAAAATGGGGTTACTACATTATTAACTTTCATTTTTTCTCATCAATATGCGAATATTGAGATGTTCTTTCCCTGTTTGAAATTATGTTGACCATTACATTTACATCACACAAAAGAAGAATCGTAGAATTATCATGGATGAACTGTCTTATAATATCATCTAATTTCAAATAAATTATTGACAAATGTAAGAAAAAATAATACATTACATAATTTATAATGCAAATAAATTAATAAATAAAATACAAGATTTGGTTATCAATGTAGAAATTATTAGAATGCGTACCAATTTTCGAAATAACACTTAAATTTTTCAAAAATCTAATTTTTTAAGTTTCTAGAATAAATTTAGTGGAAGATATTGATAGTGTAAAGAGAGAGAGATTTCAAATGGCCTCATTGTATGAACCGTATTTTAAAAATAATATTTTCTAAATTTATGTTAAAGACCACCATGTTATAAAAATAAAAAATATAATTAGACCATTTATTCCTAGGTAAAAAATAGAATGGGATGAAATGTCCCACATCCAAAAAACTAGACTATTGAATGGGATGAAATGTCCAATGGTCCCACATCCAAGCGCATTGAGGCCGACTGTCACTTCATAGGAGAAAATGTCGCTTCAAAAGAAATTGGTACTCCATTTGTTCGCTCCAAGTATCAATTGGCAGATATACCAAGGCTTCTAATTTTGTTTGACTGAAAGACACTTCACGCACTTTGGGCATCGATGGTATCTATGCTCTAGCTTGAGGGGGAGTGTACTGAAAATTATGGCCCCATGTCGTAATTTAGGAAACCTCATGGGCCGTGCTGCTATTAATTCAACCTTCTATAGTGGGGCATGTGATAAGGCACATTGACCAAGAATCCTCACATTCTTGAAAACTCAATATTTACCATAGTTGACAAAGGAGAATCTATATTGTGAAAGCTCAAATCTTTACCAAAATTGGCTAAGGTCCTTTGTATTGTATCCTCCTATTCTATTTGAATTCCTTAGTAGTTGTAAATCTAATCGCATACTGACCTCTGGTGTAACCCCCACCTAAATACATATGTATATATGTGGTACGTTGCCCCATAATTTAAACAATGAGATCCAAATCCATATTTTTCACCCAAGCATTGTGCTTGAATGTTCTTTCCCTCTCTTCTTCAAACTTAACAATATGTTTATTTGAATGTCTCCCTTAACCACTTTGTCATACTGATTGGGTGTGTATTGTAGTAGTTTGTCTCACAAATTCATGAGCATTTGGTGCTTTCTTTCATTTTGCCAATTTCAAAATGCTTATATTCTGATCTTCCATAACCAAAATAATGTTCACTGAGCTTATAAGTGAATGCATGCTGTCCTTTTCATGGCACAATGATATTTAGCCTTTATGAACTCAAAATCATTTGTTTTTTAATTCTTGATCGTGGAGGATTGAACCACCTCTAAAATTTAGGAACAATAACCTCTAGCATGATTTACGTAAGAGACGGGCACGCATGTAGCAGTTAGCCCTATGTCAACTTAAGAAACTCTGCTTGCAGCATTTGGGCCAAAGATACCCCTATTTAGTACTGCTATTTTCAAGGGAGGGGTATTGTATCTTGTTAATAATCAACAAATCACAAGAGGATGAAGAAAATAGAAGAAGAAAAGAAATGAGACGAGAGAGAGAGAGAGAGAGAGAGGTGTGTGGAGGAGACCTAATTCCCTTAGGGTAGGCCTAAACTCCAAGCACTTCTTAATATTTTATTATAATAGATGATATTGATACATATTACAAAAATCCCTTATAAGAAATTTAGTGAAACCTAATGTCTTAGAGTTTATAAAGAGGACAAAGATACCCCACACTATAGTGCGCACTCATCATCATCATCATTTTAGCGTTTTCCAAATTAATTGGGATCGGTTATGTGAATCTGAGTTTTCCATTCTTCTCTATTAAAGGCTAGAAGTCCTCATATCTTTTCGAACTACTTCCAACCACGTTCTTTTGGGCTTACCCCTTGTCCTTTTCAATCCTTTCACTTGAACTAACTCGCACCTCTTAACAGGTGTTGTACTTGGTCGGCGCCACACATGGCCAACCCACTTAAGTCTATTCTATAGAAAACCCTAGAATTCCTAAAAAACCCCTAGAATTTCTAAAAAACTAAACACCCCTAGACATAACTCCTAAAACTAAAACTATAATATACACCCTTTGAAATTGAATAAAAATAAAAAATAAGAGTAATTTTGTACTCCTTTAAGAACTTGCTGACATAGATATGGGTCGTATTCGAAGTTTGTTGGACTGACATCCTCTTTTATGGCAATTGTTTCTTTCTCAAGGATGTTGCACATTGATAGCATTGATAGTAGTATTGGCTTGTTATTGTGTTTTTTATGTTAATAACAATGTAATTATTGATGTGTTCTTTTTTTTCTCTTGTTGGAATCTTTTTTTTTTGGTTGTTTGGCAGGTCGTTATTATTTGTGGAGGATCATTTCGACGTGGAAAATCATCTTGTGGGGATTTAGATGTTGTTGTAACACACCCTGATGGTGAAAGGTATGCTTCAAGAGAAAAGATCTTATTTCTAATGTCGTGTGGTAGTTTGCTTAAGAATTAAACAACGAGTAAACTGATAGTTCCTTGACTACGACTACATAAACATTATTTAAGAACTGATTTTTCTAGCATGTTGAGTGGAGTTATAATTACTTGGATTGGCCATCTCTGTCTGATGATGACTGAGGCAACCATCCATGTGTAAAACTTGATATAGAAACTTCTCTAGAGCGATAATGAGTAGAATGGAAAATGGTAGTGAATCATAAACAACTTAATAAATTTTGAGAGTTCGCAACTACACTCATGTGTTTACGTAGTGGCATTGCAAATACTCGCAAATGGCACATGCTATAAACCAGTGTTTGAGAAATTGGTGACTTGGTCTTGGACTCCCCTTTCTAACTTGGACCTGGGAGGGTGCCAAGTCTGTATGTAAACACCTAAACTCTGTCTATTTTACCCAGAGAGAACCAATTCAAACCTCCGGATTGGCCAATTAGGTGGTTGACACAGGCTCAGGACATTGGCAAGTCGAAGCTAAGGTTGTTGTTTTCAAATGACAGTACACACATACACACACAAATACACACACATTTGGATTCCCCAAACTTTGTTATATATGTTAAGTTTACACTAAGCAAAGGTTTGCTCCAAACATGGAGTTGATTCTTGTGTCTGATGTTTTATTTTCTTTCCTGGCTACTTTGGGAGCTGACACTGGAAAGATGTACATCCATTTGGAATAACTGAACCCAAATTATTACTAGTATCCACGAGAAGATGGAAAGAAGACAATGAGAAAGTGGAGAGGTCTCTCATAATTGATGCATCACGCTTACATGTACTCTTCGAGGATCAAACTAGCATTATGCTTGTCTCAAGTATCCGCTTCCGTTGCCCTTGAAAATTCATTTGGACCAAAACGCTTTCTTGACATGAAGGACTTTTTTTTTGAAACAATAAATTTTACAATGCTTGGTTGCTTGCCTCATCATAATATATAGGGTCCTGATGATCAGCTTTCCCATTCCTTGAAGTTGGACAAACGGAACAAGTAATTTGCCAAACAAAATGCAGACTTTTGAGTTGGACACTTGTACATGTATACCGTTATACAACTTTACTGATGTTGGGTTACTTGAATGGACTATGTTATGGAAATACACTTTTGTCACATTGGCCTCTCTCAAGGAGCTAATGTGAGATGATGGAACAACCTTTGCAGTTCTTGCCCTTTTTAGTGGATTATGGTTTTATTTTCCTGTGACTCCATTCTCTGAGGAGTGTGGACTCCATGCTACTTCAAAAAGTATGTAAAGATATCCTACACATACTTATCTACTAGATAATTCCTAAGGATCTTAATCTTAGGCCCTAGTGATTCTGGACAATTCTTGCAGACATCGTATTTGTTGAATGCCCCAGACTTCTGGTGGGTGAGGCAGACACAAATATCAATAATGTGGTGATGTGACTGGTCATGCAAAAGGGTGATGAAAAACGCAGTTAAATCTTGCTTGGATGTTAAATGGTTGAAAAACGCTAGGATGTGTGACCTAAGCAGCCTCTCGGTTCTTTTGGTTTTATAGAAGGGCTTGCATGTCATCTTGCTTGGGTGCAAGCTTGATTCTTGTCAAAGTGATTTTATGCTAACTTGAGTACCAAATCAGCAGTGGAAAGGCTTTTTTCCCTATCTATGTGACATTCCATTCACCACTTGGTATCCTGGACCATTTGTGTGGCAGGTACATAATATGTTTTGCTTCTTATCAGCCTCATTTTAGGTAGCACCTTGAATTTCTACTTCTATCTGGGATTTATGTGGGAATTTCTGGATTTTCTAATATATTTCGAAGTCTTTTAGAGGCCTTCTTATTTGTTGTTCGAACAAGACATTCTTGGGTTCCGGCAATCCTCCTTCCAGGTCCTTATTTGATTGATTAGGGTTGATTTGTAGCCTCAAAACTTCTATTTTTCTTTTTTCTTTTGTTCATCGATTGTCTTGAACATTTGATAACCTTTTTTAATTATTTTTTTCATTTTTTGAATAAGTCATTTATTTGGGTTTCATTATTGCTTTCTTAATTTTCCTGTAAATAATTTTATTGTTTTCGGTAGTTCATCAATACAATTTGAACTTGGTACATATTGTTGTAATTTTCAACACCTAAACCACCATTCTGTGGGCTAATGTGTATTCATGGGAGATGCCATCATCTCTACTTTCAACAAAAACAAAACCGTGCTTCAATCCTTCTTATATATATATATATATATATATTATAGCAAGTAATTTTAGTGTAAAAAACTCTCAGGATTATCTGAATATCTATTTTTATATCTAATTATAAAATTTTTAATTCTAAAAATAGTTAAAATCAAGTAGATCTATAAATATATGAAAATCTTGAAAATGGACGATCTAGATAAGGTGTTACAAGATGCACTATTTTTGAAACTCAAAATCTTTTTTTTTTTTAACATTCATACATCTTGATGTCGAGATAATCAATTAGATGGTTTTTCAACATTAAAACAACTCTTTCCGATAGATTTTTGAGGTGCATCCTTAATTCTACATTTTAATGTTGCAACATTATATAAACTTTTTCCTATATATATATATATATATATATATATAGTAGGGTGCGGTTTGTATAGAGCCTAGGCTATAAACAATCAAATTAGAGCCTACCTTCAAATAGTGCGGAGAGATGTGGTTTTAATATTGGAAATATTTGTGATAACCTTAAAATATAGTTTCATATTTATTTATAAAATTTGAAGCTTCAAAAATAGTATCGATCGACGTATCTATGAAAACTTCGAAATCTTGAATATTGACGGTCCAAAAATGCGTTACAAAATGCACTATTCCAAAACTTGCAATCCATTTTTTTCTCTTGTCCATGCATCTTGATGTCGATATGATCAATTTGAAGATATTTGGGCATCAAAACAACCTCTTCTAATGAAATTTTGAGGTAGGGTCAAATTTGATTGTTTAGAGCCTCGGCTTTATATAAACGTTTCCCATATATATGTATAGATATAATTTCTTGGACTGTTTAGTAGCTGTAGTACTTTACGCAGTTTCCTTTGGCTTCCATTTTTTATGGCCTTCGTCAACTTACTCTTTATTATATCCCCAGCCATAAAGGTTTCTTGTCACGCTTCGTGAAACATTTGAAGGATATGCAGTTCTTAAGAGAAGATTTAGTCTTCAGCACTCATAGCACAGAGGTAAAGCAAAAGTTTATTTAAGACATTCAACATGTGATTTGCATCATTTTAGGTGTCCTGACTTGTTTGAGAGGCAACATCTGTAGTTTAATGTACTTGGCATGGACATTGTTGTATCAGTTAAGTAGCAACTGCTGTATATTCATCTTTTGTGAATTTTTTTATCATGGTTATTTCGTTAACAAAATATTACCTCTTGATATACCTGACATCTTGCCGTTAGCATTGGTTTTTTGACTTTAATATTATATCCACCTTGAAGCAATCTGACATTGCTATTGCATTTAATTTGATGAATTTATTGTTGCAATTCACTAAATTTCTCCGTTATTTTCTATTAACAAGTTTGTATTATCATAGATCCCATAGGTATAATGCAAATGAGTGCACCATCAAATTCTCTCTTCATTCCTTGGACTTTGACTTATTTATGAAAGATTTAGGCAATCATCTATTTCAACAATTTTACTGGGTTGTTGTATTTTGAAGACTTCCTACCAGTGTTATCATGACCAGGCTAGACCAGCCTGTCTAGCCGATTGAACTGCGAACTGGCCCTCCTTGGCCGGTCAAGTCAAGTTATCAAAATAGGAAAATATCAAAGAACCAGTCAAAATCATCCATTGACCAATGTGGCCGGTCTAACCAGCTTGTTTTGCTGGTTTTGATAATTTCTTTTTGACCTGTAATTTCTCTGTGCAGCAGATTTTTATTTGGATTTTTCTACTTTTCTACTGTTCACCATATTGGCCTATTATATCAGTAGGCCAACACCCATTTAGTTTCTTTCTTTACTCTATCACCTGTTATTATTTTTGTTTGGCAAGCATTTGGCAAATTCAATCCAAGTCTTGATCCCTTTATGGAAAGCTTCCTAGGTTCTTTGTCTAATCTTTACTGCATTTTGCATCCTTTTTTCCAAATTTGTAACGGATTTTCAGCCTGATTTTCTGTCACTATCCTCATCACTCGACTCCCCACGCAGTGCGATAGTGAAAGGGCTTGTACTCGAGATCATCTTCGGCTAAAAAATCATTGTATTGCCTATTAAATTTAAAATTCGTAACGATAATTTTACCCCTATAGACAGTACCATGAACAATACTCATGAACAATACTTGTGAATAGTACTCATGAAGTAAAAAATATATAAAAACCCTGGAATCCCTAAAAAGCTAAAAAGCACTAGAAGTAAATCCAAAACTAAAACTATAATATATATCATTTGAAATTGAATAAAAATAAAAAATAAGAATAATTTTGCCCTCCATCACCTAGATTCAGAGAGTAATGAAATAAATGTCTAAAAAGCCTCTAAAGACCAAAAAATTGAATTTGGAGTATCATTCATGATTTTCAATGAGAGTTCAAGATAGCCATACTAAATTTACCATTGATTCCTCAATCATATGGAGATCGTTTTCTAAAGGATTTCTTATTGCCACGAATAATCACTAGCCAACCAAGAAGAAGGTTGAAGAAGGTAGTTTTGATGCTGAATTCATCTTAGCGCACTTCAAAACTTGAGAACTAGTTTTCTTCTACCAGGGAAGAATGATGTGGGACAAAATTATTCTAATTTTTATTTTTTGCTTAATTTCAAGAGATGTATATTTGTGTTAACAATTTCAAAAAAAGACAGATGTATATTTTAATTTTTGTTTTAGGATTTATTTTTAGGGTTTTTAAGTTTTCTACGGATTCTTGTTTTTTTTGTATTTTTTTTTTTTATTTACTATTCTCGGGTACTGTTCACATGTTGCTGTTCACAAGGGTATTTCTAGAATTTTCGTATTGTTTAGGGGTATTTTAAAGTCTTAAATATTTACTTGGTCTTAAGTTAATTTTAGGGTTTCACAGGCTTATAAAATGTTAGATGTCAAATTTTGGGAGGTTTATGTTATTTGGAATGAATTTTATTTTATGAAAGAAGAAAATTCTTCTCTTGGCTTGATTTACAATCATGTTCTTTTTCCATTATTGCTGATTTTACTTGTTTAAGTTTCAGGAAAACAGTAGATTCAATTTCCCACCTTTCCTTCGTGCATCACCAAGTTATGCAAGATGGGATATAGAGTGCTTATCTCTATTGAATTTTGACTCCAGAAAATATTATGACTTGATTTACAGCTTTGTAATCTGGTGAAAATTTTATGTTATTTCGATGGAATTTTATTTTATGAAAGTAGAAATTTCTTCTCTTGACCTGATTTACAACCATGTTCTTTTTACATTATTGTTGATTTTACTTGTTTAAGGTTCTGGAAAAGGTAGATTCAATTTCCCACCTTTCTTTCATGCATCACCAAGTTATGTAAGATGAGACATTGAGTAGTTTCTCTTTGGAATTGTGACTTAAGAAAATATTATGATTTGATTTACTGCTTTGTATTCTGGTGAAATTTTTTGCAAAACCTCATTGTACACTAAGTTATTGTTTATGATTCTTTCTGATGGCTAGAGAATTTTTTGGTTAAAAGTTGATATGCCACTGTTTGTAGTTGTCTATAGTTTATAATGATGCCCAGAAAATTTGTTTAAACAAAAAAACCCAATGCGCTTTTATGTTCTCGAATACAATAGTATTTGAAATTAACTAATCAATCATCTTACACTATTGTAATATGAATGCAAAACAAGCAGGGAACTGATTCTGGTGTTGACACATATTTTGGCCTTTGCACATATCCAGGGCAGGAGCAGCGCCACCGTATTGATTTGAAGGTAATCATATGTTTGATATTTGACTTTGCCAAAATAATATTTGTATGCTGAATCGTTTTTTTGATATTTGACGTTGTCAAAAAATCAATCATTTTTTTGATATTTGATATTGCCTAAATAATATGCTGAATCATTTTTTTTATTGATATTTGACATTGCCAAAATAATATTTGTATGAAAAACATTGAGCTACAATTGGGTTCTTTTATTTTGAACTTTAGGATCTGGGATAACTTCAACCTTGAGTAAATTGATCAGTCAATATTAAAGAATTGTAATCTTTATGAGCACAAAACTAACAGCATTATATACATTTCCTTCTTTTTTTTTTAAGTATTGTATATTTATCGAGGAGCCGTATGAAGCTGGGGTATCATGTAAGGTTCTGGAATAGAGATGATAACATCACTGTTATCATCGATTATGGTTATCTAACAGTTCAAGTACGGTTGATGTAGTGGAGGCATAGTCTAAATATGGTTTTTGGGGGTGGAATCTGCTCTCTGCATTTTATGACATTATTGTTAGTTCAAACTTATGGGAGAGGATGAGCATTGGAACTATGCTGCTTGTAATTTTTGTAGTATATCTGGCACTAATTGAAGTCGCTATTGTCATAATAATTATTGTCCAGAAGCTCTGAGGACAATATCATAACATTTACTGAGACTATATTAGAACATTTGAGCTCCATGGCTATCATGCGTTGTAATAGAGTGCAGCTTTTACTTCTGTTGGTGCCTATCACAAGGGCCAAAACCATGATCAGGAACAGCCTTGTGATTTGTTAGTCATGTTACATCAGGTTAAGCCTTCACTGGCAAAACCTTGTGGCTAAAGAACAATAATGATGCAAAATCGTACTATAAAGCACACAAAGATTTCTCTAAAAAATTGATTGATTGATTCGAAATTCACAGATAGCTAACAAACCGAGCTTTGATGGCTCTACAAAATTCATAAGAATTCAAAGAAACATATTATCCTAAAAGGTTTAGCTGGAAATTAGATAAGGATAAGGAATCCTATTCAAAGTAGAAGATAGGTTTCTGTTAGATTTCCTTCTATAAAAGGATCAAGTTTGAACTCTTTTCAACTCATGACAAGATCTTTTCTCTCTCTCTCTCAAGACAAGATCTCTCTCTTCCTCTCACGCCCAAGATCTCTCTCTCCATTACGCCACTTTCTCTCGACCTTTTCTCACCGCTCTCTCTTAACCAAAAAGAAGCACGCCCACAATCTCTCTCTCTCCATTACACCACTTTCTCTCCACCTTTTCTCTCACCTCGCTCTCTCTTAACCAAAGAGAGGCACGCCGCCTCTCTCTCTCTCCTTTATTTTTTGTCTTATAGGGTGGCCTTGTTTTTTAGAAGAAGCCCTAGATAAAGGGTTTGCTCTATTTTTGAAGAAAAGAAGAGAGAAGCCTAGCCAAGAGAGATCAACTCACATATTCAGCCCTAATTTGTTCCAATACGGTTTTTATAAACCCTAGTTTATTTTTGAGCTTTCTAAAATCCTAGAGAAAGAAGTATTGCCTATAAAGCTTTCATATCTTAGAATTTTCAGCAGCACCTTAAGGAGTAAAAGTGCGCCATTGGTCAGGGAATCGAGTGCAGGGTGTGCTAAGTTCTGATAGGGTAGCTCCAGGCATCTTCCAGTAAGTCTTCCCATTAGTTTTTATTTATTTTCAATATTATTTCCTATTTGGAATGACTCTTTAAAAATTGGAAAATACTTGAGAAAAATTTTGATTGAAGCTTGGAACAATTGGGAAAAATGTGGACAAAATTACATAGATAAGAAAAAAATCGACAAAATAGGTGTAGCTAGTTATCTCATAGAGTCCATTAGTTTTGGAAAACCCGCAAATGATTAAACTAAGTGTTTCTAAAACTAAGGAAAGCAAAATGAGGTGTTGAATCCTTTGTTTTATTCCTATCAACAAGTACGAATCCTTGTTATCTGATTTTCAACCATTAATCCCATTTTCCACAGAACAATCTAATGAATAAACCCCATAATAAATTGCTAAAATTATCATGGATTTTTTTTCGATATCCAGTATAACTCCTTGTATGCTAGTTTTTAATGGCAAGCTTGATCAAAAGAGCTGAAAAAATGATGCAATTTCCATGAAAATTAGTCTACGAGCAAACCCAATCATAAGTTTTGAAAGACCTGCAGTTATTCAGGTAACAAATAAAAAATGGCAAGTACAATCCCATGCTAGTTGTTGAATGAGTTTTTCACGTTCCACTTATTCAGTCCTTAGCTCAGTCACTTGATGAGTTTCTTGAAGACTCGCCAGGTCATGTAACCATGTTTTATGCCTTTTTGTCGTAGCGGTGATCCCAATCTCCTGGTGGACTAGACTTGCATACCCTCTTTAAAGGGAATGGTGTTGCAATGTCGATACTGAATGCTTCAGCTCAAATAATTGTTTAACTTTATGGAGGAGAAATCATTACTTGTCACAACCTTCTCCAGATTGCTTTCTTTCCTTTAGAATGTGCACACTTGTATGTTGCTCGTATGTGTTAAATACTGAAATTATGTATAGCATAGTTTTTCGTATTCAGTATCATGTCAGTAACTTGCAAAGATCTTGGGAGAAATTTGGTGTTTATTCATTGTACTAAGTAGTTTATTCATTGCAAGGACGTTGGGATAAAGTTTTTCCTCCAATGTTCTATTAATTTTATGCTAATCTAGAATATGATGAAAGTAAAATTGGGATTCTTGTGGCATGAACTTTGCTATCTAACTACAGAATGGCATAAGAGTGCATATTTCTTTCAATTACTAGAGTGGCGTGACATACAGGTATACCCAAGGGATATATATGCTTTTGGATTGATCGCTTGGACTGGCAATGATGTCCTAAATCGGCGGTAAGTGCTGATTCTTTGTATATTTTAGTAGATATATTATTGTTTTATATTCATCAACCATATTGCCCTGACTTATCTTTTCTTTGAGTTCTCATTTTGCTTTTTCAATTTTACTATTCCATATGCAGATATTGCTCATTTGAAATCTTGTTATGGGAAAATCAGTTTACTCCAGTTCTAGGGTTTGTGGGAAGAGTTATGCAACAGTTTATTGGAAAATTTGTATCTTCATATGCATGCAGAGTTTATAATATATATATATAAGAATTTGGAGCTGTAAATAGGTTTCCATTTGTAACTTCTATTGCAACTCTTTTATTTTCACCTTATTTGGTCGAAACTCAAGGTTTTTAAGTCCTAGCAGTCTTTGGTGGTTTCTTAAATCAGGATTGGTAGGAGCTTCATTTTACGTCCCCAAGTCAGTGGTCATAACAATAGAGATTCATATTCCCACTTAAATACAATATCGTGGACATCAAGTTCCCCACTTGCCACATTCAGAAATTTCCTACATTTTCCTTTGGTCACTCGTCTTCACTTCCAGGATGGCCTTCCTTGATGATAATCATTAGAACTAGTTCGATGTTGCATACTTCTTTCTTATATGTTTTGTTTAAATAGAAAATGCAGCCAACTCATGAGAAAATACCATGTATTCTTTTATGAAAGTTCATTTCTTTAGATAATCCATTTATGGCTCTGAAATTTTGTTAATCTTTTCCAAAGTGTTTCATATCTTACTAAAGATACCAGCTTGCAAGCAAAGTGATATGCCAAGCTTTCACCTAAGCCTCGATTTCATCCGCTTCTTGTTTGGGTTGATTCTTTACCCTTAAATGCATTTAGAATTTGTTCTTCCTCATTACTGATATTGATTATCCTACGTTCAAAATTTCAATTATCCTCATTTAGTATGTGTAACTTCGAACTATGGAAAGATCATTTCATTCTCAAATGCCTCTGTAAACACTATATGTACCACTTTAGGGTGTTTATTTCATTGGATCATTTTATTTCTCTTTTAAGTCTGGGTTTTGTAAATATACCATATGAATAATATGTTATATGGATTCTGTATTTAGCCTTTGTTGCCGGACTTTTTTCCTTTGTTGATTTGCTTCTTTTGTCGATTAAACAAAGAGTTGGGAGCAGATGCGTTTGATATTTCAGTTTCTTGGGGATAGCTCATTGGGTTAAACTGCGCACCTCCAATGTGTCTTATGCAGCAAATAGTGCTTCCTAAAACTTCTGCCAGGTCATCTGAGCTTTAATTGTAGCAGACGAATAGTTTACCTCAGATCAGTGTTATTAGAGTTGAACCAGACGTCAAACTTCCTTTGGTCTTTTCTTGTCGGACTGGCTTTACTATTTTTTACAAATAAATTCCTAGAATTAAGTAAGAATTAAAAAAAGGTAATACATAGATATTTGAAAATAGGGTGAATATTTACAAAAAATAATGGGAAGAAAAAGGTAATGACTGCGAGTTGTTGTGCAAGCTGCCGAACCTGCCTTCTGATATCTTTAATCTGTTCATATCTGGTATCACAAAGTAGATCTACAACAGCCCCCCTTCCACATGACCTTTTTGTTGTCAGGGGGTTCGCTGAAATCGCAAACCCCAGGTGGAAAATCAGCAAACAGGCTAAACGTCATCTAGGCAGAAAGCAGTAAACCTTGGGCTGAAATTAGTAAATTTTGGGCTGAAATTTGCTGTACCTTAGCCTGAATTCAGCAAACCCTAAAGTTGATCAAAGATTCCTGCCCTTGCTGACCATAAAACGTTGGCTCTGATGCCAATTGATGTAGCAATTTGATGAAGAAAACAGAATACTAAATAAGTCCTAGATAAGCACAAGCACAACTTGAAGAAATCTGGGATATCTTCTTCAAACCCAAACTAGGGCTTCAAACGCTAAAAACTTCCCCCCTTTTTTATTTATAATTTCAAAATCACGTGAATAGTTTCGCTTTTCTTCCATGCAGCTCATTTTATAAATTTAGTTAAAGTGATAACACCCTTCTCCAAAATAAAAATGACTAAGTCCCAACATAAAGTAACTTGAAAATAAAATATCCGAAAATAAAATGCTTTATTTGTCCTCTCTTAAGCCAAAAATAAAAGAAATTAAAGCTAAAACAGAAAATAATTGTAGTTAACTAAAATCTAACTAAAGAATTTATCTGATCAGTACTTGCTCCTTTTATTGTTCTTGGGAGCTCATCTGGGATTTGTATCCTGCCTTAGGAGGAACCTACTGCTCCAATGATCTTTGCTACTCATGCTTTGTACACCATCATTATGAGTCTAACATGTAATGGTCAGATGAAATCATCATCGTCATCATCTAGATGTAATACTCGGATGAAATGGTTGAAATAAAGAAATATGGAATGGAAGGATAACCAAATGCTTTTTTTCTCCTTTTTCTTTTATTTCCTGGAAGCTATTTACTTCTATAAAAGTTTTCTTAGGTTGACCAAAAAATCCCCTGTTTCTTCCTTTTATTTGGGCAACTCTTGATCTTTATTTTTGCCTTATCATATAGGTTCAAACATTCAATACAATCAATCATGCCAGTCCAAACTTCATGGTTAGCAGAGAATGTAGCATTATTGTAGTAAAACTGATGGTTAAACCAATATGCTGCATTCAAAATATTCTGTCGCAATTGTTTATCCCATTGTTTGCATAATATTTCTTTAAAGGGCTTAAATTTATATTCTCTATGTAAAAATGATCTTAACAACCTCCCTTGCTATTTCAACCGCCATAAATATAGCCCACTAAGGTTCTTTCCTTGGTATTAATCATACACAAGATCTTTACAAGGGCTAAGTGATTTTGATGACAAGGTTACAGGAAGCCCAAAATTGATGACTAATGATAAAATCTGTGACTACTTCACCATTGTGCTTCAGTCAAGTCACTCAGTGGGTGTATCTAGAGGCATCATTTTTTGATCTTGAAGGCGAATCATGTAACTTCAGGCCATATGATTTCTCCACCATTGGTATATTTCCTCATCAGACTCAGTTTTTTTAATGTCATTCAAATCACCATTGCCTCTCAACTTTAAGTCTACAAAGTTTGCAGAGCATGTGTCCAATACTTGGTGGGAAAATTGGATGTCAATAATTTTCATACAGCTTCATAGTCAGCAGCCTTTTCTGTAACCATTTGGACTGTATTTTCCGGACCCACATTCACAACTTCTTCGTTAAAAAGCTTGTAGAAAAGTTGCATCCTAAATCTTTATCTGATGTTTCTACTGACTTCATAAGCCTAGTTTCTTAACACAAAATTAATTAGTCAATGTTTTGCCGTTATGGTGCACCCTGTATTTGCCCAGTATCTCCGGTAATCCTCCATGCAACTCCTTACTTCTTCAACATTCCTCCTTAAAATCCAATCTTGAGCATCCAAGGACAATTGCAGCAATGGCATCAATCATGTGTTGAAAATAGGACGAGAGCAATGCATTAAACATAATCACTTCATAATATTAACAACGCCACATGCGAGATCGTTGCATTCCCAGATAATCATTCTTGATGCTCGGTCGGGGCTCAGGTGTTGTATGAAGTACAAAAAGGTTTCTAAACATATTATCCTCTTTTCTATTTTCAGTATTCATATAATCTCCATATTTTATTCATTCCCCATCACCACTAGTTATTGCCTTTCGAGAAGCACTAGGACCTATGACCAAATACAATGATTGGTTATCATTACTAGTGCTTGGATATGGGTTTCCAATCTCATCAGCAATCAATTGCCAATGTTGTTTCCACTGATATACTTTCTAGACTAGTTTTCATTTGATGTTGAACATCAAAGGCCACACTTTTACTCTGCTGCTAGATCCCCTTCTAAACCGCAGAATGCTTCTTGATCCTATTAATTCCCCCACCATCATAAATATTCCACATCGCATATATTTATGATTCCACTTTGTCCCTTCCAAAATTTCTTGGACTAGATCCCGAGCTGGGTCACTTTTGCCTCTTACAGATGAGCCACATGAATTTGAATCTGCCCCAGAAGTAGTCGTTATGACTAGTGTATCTGAAAACTGAAAGGAAGGAAATTTAGAAAACTCTCTCTCTCTCTCTCTCTCTCATTGTTTTTCTAGTTCTTGGAAAAACTAAATTCTAATTAAAAAAACACAAGTATTACATGAATATGCTTTACCTTTCAAGTTCTATGAACCAAGAAAACAACCAAAAAAATGGGAAAAAAAATCAATTTCCATGAAACAAGAAAGCTGACTTAACTCATATTATAATTCCTTAGCAGATTCTAAAACTCATCCTTAACTTCAACTCTATGTCCAATCAAAACGCCTCTTAACTTTCCAATACACCTTAATAAGGAACTGATTTGGATATAATTACGATGTATGATAATTTTAACTAACAGATCAATCCAAAATATTTTGATACAATAACTTACATGTGAGAGTTAGTTTGATGGGCAACTGTTGGGAGAAGTCTAGGGCCTTTAGGCTAGCATCTGTATCTATTGAAGCAGCTCACACTATTTGTTTCCAACCCAATGGCATGCTTGAGCTTCACAGTTTGCTATAGAAGAGATCTCTGCCTTTTCAACCCACTTCATCGAATCATGTCCCCTCTAATTGTCATGCTCTAAACTTTTACTAAGCAATGGCCTCTAGGTGGTGGTCATGGTGGCAAGGTGCTACATGACATCTAGAGTACCTTTCTGGTTGTTGTAGTTAACATTCAAAAGAGAAAAAAAAAAGTACTAAAAAAAAGCTCTAGATTTTACTGCAAGTCATCAATTCCTTTCTTCGTTTTGATAGATTTATAAAAGACGTAGCCCACAGAGCTATACATGGAGAGAGAGAGATTGAGAGAGGAACTCAGAAGAAAAAATGGGAGTAAACATAAAATATATGCATGATAATCTACAAATGTTCCTTGAGCCCCAGCCAACTATAAAAGAACTCCGGGAAGGAATGAGTTCAACGAGGCATTAGTCATAAAAAAAATATTCTATCAGCTACAGGTGATGAGTTAGATGAGAATAATAAAACCAAATCTTTGAAAACTTAGAAGAAACGTGGAAAATCATTTAAAAAGTTTCATATGCAACTCCCATTTCCATCTTTTTTCTAGTATAATTTGATAATCTTGTAAAATCATTGTGATATTGTAAGAATAAAATGCTCTTTTCTATGATTATTTTTTATTTTGCAAAAGTGTCCAATTTTATCGTAATAACTCCGCCTTGGCTAGCTTCTTTCCAATCAATGCCGGTCCCTAGCCCAAGTAAAAGAGGAGGGTTGTGTTAGGTGGGCAGCTGGCATAAAATTGTGTACTTTCTATAAATCCTAAATGACAGGATCGTGTAGCCGACCCCAAGTAGTTGGGATAATGATGATTCTTCAATTTTATCATAATCAAAACAAAGGCTTTATTTTTTACTTTTAAAAAACAAACAAAACAAATTTAGAAAATCCCTCATTTCTTTCTTCAGTATACCTGGTATACTGAAGAATTTAGCTGCTCTTACGAGTGATAAAGTCCTTAATCACTCTTCCCAATGGTCCAAATCGCTTCCCAATTTTCTGCACCTACTATTGAAGTCAAATTGGATTTTCTCTCTGGAGCCAAAAACAAAGCCCTCTCTTTGCTATAGAGATGATAGTACCTTTCAATCCGCTAATGTCTTTGGAATGGGTGTTATATTTTTTTTAGGAGAAGCTGCAAAAAGAATCTGGCCAAGGTGGACAAAAATTGTTGCACTGGTTTTCATTGAGGCTTCTCTGTCTAGGGCAGAAAGCCCATGCATTTACCCAAAGAAAATAGTGCAAAACCGGATAAGGAAGATGAAGAGTCATTTTGAAATGAAACAAAGAGGAAAGAAAATCCCTCTAAAATAACCCATAAATTTTGAAAAAGGATTTTTTTTTTTTTGAAAAATCATAAGAAAAAAGTATGAAAACTGGAAATGTAGATAACCAGCTAATTCACACTAAACGGTAGAATCTGCACTGCAAGAACCTATCAACTCAAGCAGTTATGACTGACTCTATCCAGTCTTGCCTGGTTCTTTACGTCAAGTGGCTTTTCCACCGAACCAAACCGGTTTTGGTCGTGGTTCTGGTTTAACCCACTCGAACCAGTCGGTCCAGTCCGATTTTGGTACCACTGCTTCACATGGTTGTGGTGATGTATAAGACTTGTACTTTTCAGAAAAAATGCCCATCTAAAATTATGTGACTTTATCAACATAGAAATGGTTTACTTGTAGAAATTGTTTACTTGTTTGAAATGCTCTAAAGTTTGTTTCTTTTCGGCAGCATAGAAGTGCTTCTTTTAAGTTAGTTTTCTATGGCAGATTAAGGTTGCTAGCAGATTCGAAGGGCTACAGATTGGATGATACAGGACTCTTTCTGGTTGCTCATGGTTCTAGTGGTAAAAAGGTGAGAGACTTCGATGGTATTCAGTATTCTATGTACTTTTTTTTGGTGATCTCCACAGCTTCGATGGTCTACTTTTTTTTTTTCTCATCACCTCTCAGGTTGCTAAAGCCAGTTCGAGTTTGAAACAGAGAACAGAGAAAGAAGTCTTTGACTTCCTTGGATTTCCCTGGCTTGAGCCTCACGAGAGGAATTTGTGAGGTATTTTTCGTTCATCCACCCTCTACTCTTTTGCAACAGACTGTAGAACAGCTGAGGTCATTGATGAAAGTTCTAGTTTTTCCAGGAACAGGTGTGGTTTTAGATCCTAGCATATTATCAAATTTACACCAAAATCTGGACCATTCAGCTTACAAGCAACCACTCTTGCGTCTATAGTGTAAGCCACCTTTTTTTTGTGCTTTGTTTATAGTTCCCGGTGTATATAAATCTTTTGCCCATGATGTACAGTCTGAGATCAGCTCTTTAGGTTTAACTTGGGTTTAAACAGCAAATCCTTTGACAGTTTACATAACTCAAGGATTACTCAACGCATGGTCACATACTAGCGCCATGTGAATCTGTAAATGCAAAATCAGAAGAAATGGAGCTTAGTTTTTGCACATACGATATATCCCAACTTGTCTACAGCCATGATTGTATTTTGTGTTATCATGGACTTGCTGTTTTGCATTGCTATGTGCACGTGATCAACATTCTTTGCAATTGCGCATGCATATATGAATAGCCTTGATCTCATAATGTTTTGGTCCATGCACTGTTTCTCACGACATTTGCTTGAGTTCATCGAGGCCTGCCTGTAAATCTTCATTTCCGTTTCATGTGCTATACTTAATGTGTGAATTTTCCCACATGTTCCCTTTTGCGTGCTTTGATATGCCTGAATGCATTGCATGTGCATGAAAATGCAGATACACACCCACATATGGAAATGATGTTTCGGTGCTTCATCTTTTCCGGGAATGTGGATTTGGGCATGTGCATGTTAGAATGCGCAAGTAATTCGAATAAATACGGTATGATCCATATGACCATGGAGATAGTATGATCAATAGCGATCAACAATATCCAACCAATGCGTGGAATGATGGGCAGAGTGGCACCTATGGCTAGTACAATGTTGTGTCGTGGGGACCCATTCTCTCCTCCACTGTCGAGTCTATTAAAGGGACGGTATACTATCAATGTTAAAAAAAGCGGACCGCGCAGTGCCTAGGCGATCCAGAAAGCCTGGGCACATCGGCTAGGCCTAGGCAGCCAAACTGGGCGGCAGTCTCTGGGCAGCCGCCTAGGCAGGCGCCCAGCGCCCAGTCCTGGGAGGCCGCTCAGGGCCTGCGCCCCACTTAGGGGCGGAATTTTATTTATTTATTAGTTGTATTGATTTTTTTTAAAATATAAAGGGTTTGAAAGATGAGTTTTAGGTTTATTTCAAACATAAGCCCTCAATAACCCATTTTAGAGATAAAGAAACCTCAAGAAAACTAAAATTTGTGACTTGCATTAGATCAAAGTGCTTTTCAAAGTTATGGGAAATGGATCCAAACATCACTCAGGTATATTTGATTTAGTTTTGGAGTTTTATAATCCTATTAGA